GAAGATTTCAAAAACAACAACATGCTGATGAACAAATGTCAAACTCCAGGCTTCAGAACAGTAGTCCATAAAGCAATGGGTGATGTCATGGTGACCAATACGTCGTTTATATACAGACCATGTCAACGCCATAGCAACCATCAATTACCGCCCAGAAGACTTTTAACAACCACCTAATAATACCCTCGCTACCGGTCAGAACACTTTCCCAAATTTGTATTAACGAGCAACCACTCCAAAGAGCACAGTGGTCCCCTAGCAACCACCTGTAAACACACAATGAGCCACTACACACAACCTGCTGGGCTGTAGTAGGTCCTGCCAGACCACAACCGTAAGCGTCTGGCAAAAACTAAGTGACATCACAGCGACCCAAGCAAAATAAAAAAAGATATTCTAGCACCACCTTTGCAGCCACATGCCAAATGCTTTGCAACACCTGGTGCTGCCTCCACCACAACCATCGACACCTTAACGGATCGCACAGCAACGACCCTAAAATACCCAGCGACCGTAGACCACAGAAACCACCTTGATGTCTTACGGGCAACCCAGACATCGGCCGAGCGGTAATTTGAAATATCTGTCAAAACCTCCTCGCGGCCACGTGGCAACCACCCAGCAATGACCTCCACATCGTTAAAGAAAACAGCTCACCTCGCTGTAAGTGAGCTGCTTAGTCAGCAAGCCCACGTAGATTTAAAGATGCCTTTTTGCTATTCATAGTCTGCTACTCAGGTTATGTATCACTACATTACATTACCCCCCCAAAAAAAGTGAAATTTCCCAACAGTCTGCTGACTAGTCAAAGATACATGCATTTATCTGATACGGGTTTGACTGCGTGCATGGCTGCATGTGTTCGAGTGAAGTCAGTCTCATGACTCTGGTTAAGCAGATGTTTCCCTGAGGCTGTTTTGATTGGACCTACAGCCGAACTCTGATATTTAATAATGATGAGTACTCCCTCTGTTTCGGCCTCTCTCCTCACACACACACACACACACACGCATGCATGAGGGCAGACCAAACGGTTGAATCATATAGCGAAATATAAACAACCAGTGGTTCATTAGCTGATGATTTGGCCATGACACATCGCTGCACCCCGGGCCCTCACATCATTAAACCACTTCTGTTTTAGTTCACACTGACAGTGGAATTAACTGATGTCTGACATCTTATCTTCTCCACAGGATGTGTTTTCGAGCGCAGATTATTAATCAGGGGAAGAAACACGTTCACATATTTAGACGATACGAAGCTTTAAACTGTTGCTTTACAATCCAGTTTACTGTAATAAAACAATTTAGTGAAGTGAATATCCCACCGTATGTTTCACCTATTACTAAGGAAAAGGTCATTTAAAGGAACAAGAGAGAGATGTGCTGAGCAGATGTCTCCCTCTGTGGGTATAAAAGACATAATACAACAGTTTTCTGCAACGTTCAGCTCTCGTCTTTTATCTTGCGACTCAAAATAAGTTAATAAAAAAAACATGATGCAACATCAGTTTAGTCTTTTCTACCTGCTGACATTTCCAAACGGTAAGTACTTGTGGCACATTTTTTGTCTCACACATGCACAAAAATGACATTTTCACACCAGCATAAACAACTGACTTCAAAGAATGGAAATGTCTGGAGGGCGTGTTTGCTTTTTTTGAAAAAAAAAAAAAAAAAGTCCAAAACAGAGAGAAAAAAAAACTCTGCTATCCATGAGACAAACCTTTTTTGTCGTTTTATTTTAGGACTGAGGCCTCAAAATTTAAGACCTTCAATAATAATTGGTGAATCTTGAAGTGTGACTTGTTCAAAGTTGTCATCATAAGTTGGGAACAAGCTCCTATGATTGGAGATACATGTTTGCTGATTGGTGATTTGATCGAATCCAGAAAAAGTGTTTCCATTGTAGACGGTGCAACCGTTGTTGAAAAATCAGACAGTCAAAAATCAAATGTCAATGAATTTAAATGAAACATCTCCTGTGTTGTGTATCACTTGAGATTCCCCCAGTAGATGCTTCTGGGCCGGCACGACTAAATAGAAATTTAAGGAGAGAACTACTGAACATAAATTTGCGATAAAAGTTGAAAATCCACAGATAAAAACACATCTGTCATGTGAAATGACCAAAAATGTTGTTCTATGTTCATGTAAGACTAAATTGCTCATTATAAGAAGCTGTTTGTGATGTTTTTCAGGGCCTTCAAAATAAGGTTTTTATTGTCATTTTTTAACTTCAAATCTTGCTTCCCCTACTGTCTCATGCTCACACAGTTTGTTTTGAATGAAGTCATCACCAACTTGTGATAAGATTTACGGCCGTGGATTACTATTAATCTTTGCTTCTTTGCTTTCTCTGTCTCTGTTTACAAACTGAAGACAAGACTTGCTTCACTTCATTCTTTGGCACACCCAAAGCCTCAATTTAATTCACTTATTCCCCTCCCCTCCCAAAAAAAAGTACAAAGGTTTGATTCATTCATTCTGCTGCAGAAGTATAAACAAAATTGTTGCAACAAGGAGTGATTTTGTATGTCTCTAAGAGAATTTAGTGGCATTTCATGGGGCTGTGCAGGCTTAGACACTAAAGCAATGCCAACATTCAGGAGCAGTAATACAGTGAAACAGTACTGCAGTTCGGTTAAACAATATGAAATCCATGTGTGTCTATAGTCTGAAATAACAAGAGTGATCTACCTGTCATTTTTACATCACTACCCGCTCACTCTGCTCATAAATCAGACTTTCACAGCATATGCACACTGTCCACATTTTAACTGCCTCAGTCTTTACTGTGATGCCCAATGCGCTGCCTTTAGTGAATGGCACAGCTGAGTACAGTCAGTGTAGCTACCTTCAGGTACACACACACACACACCACATACAAACAAATAACAGGTCAATATCTTGGAGTCTTTCTCCAGAAGAGCCAATAGAAGCACAGCAGCAGCAGAAACCAGGAGAGGAGTGAAACTGTTTACTGGTTCAGTGGACATTCAGCATTGTAACACATGTTCTGGTAACAGCAACATAACCTTTCATTTTTGTTAACCCAGTCGACCAGCGTTACCTACAGTACTGCGACAAAGTTCCTACATTTTTCAAATTTCAAATAAAGTTTGTATCGGCAACCTGAGCGTGAGATCTCGTTACTGCACGCACTCACATTACTGTCACGTTAAAACATTTCTTCTTACTTGAATGTACCGAGAACATTATGTGCTTTAGATAAATTGGGGCAGAATATTTAAAATGTTCTGTAACAACTCATTCCCTATTTCATTTAGTTGTATTTCCCTTAAACAAAAGTATTTTCATTAAACTATAGTTTAAAACATTAATTATTAACATTATTTGTTATTTAACATTTAAAACGTTTCGTGTCTTGTCTATCCCAGACGTTTATTTCGCAAAACTTACAGCCGAGAGACTTTGCTGAACATCAGGACAATTTACGTTGTTAAATTGCGGAGGTAGGTTGTGATTTGGACATACGACACCAACACAGAGTCCGATGGCAGATTACGCCGACAGCTACCCGAGAGAGAAGGAAGCGCAAACGGTGTGAATGTAAACAAAAAAGGGGGGGAAAGAGCCGGGATCCATGCTAGGCTAAAGGCTAACCCTTCCAGACCAGCAGAACCGTCCTCCTGCTCTCCAATGTCCGCTCTCTCAACAACAAGCTGGACGGGCTACGTTTGCTGAGAGAAACCCGCAGATTATTCGGCTTGGATACGGCCACATCTCCAGGTCCTGGACTTTCTGACCGAAAGACCCCAGTCTGTCCGAGTCGGAAAGAACATCTCCAACTCCATCACGCTGAGCACTGGATCTCCTCAAGGTTGTGTACTCAGTTCACTGTTGTTTACACTGCTGACACACAACTGTGCAACCACTAGATCATCAAGTTTGCTGATGATACCACAGTGGTGGGACTTATTCACAAGAACAAAGAATCAATGTATAGAGATGAAGTGAAACACCTAGAGGGCTGGTGCAGCAAGAACAACCTGCGGCTCAACGTGGACTAAACGAAGGAGTCGACTTCTGGAGGCCACGTCCTGAGCTTGCTCCCCTCAGCATCAGCAGCTGCTCAGTGGAGAGAGTGGAGATCATCGAGTTCCTCAGAATGCAGATCTCACAGGACCTGAGCTGGAATAAGAACACCGCAGTGATCATCAAACAGTCGCAGCAGAGACTGCATTTCCTGAGGAGGCTGAAACAAGCCTCTCTTCTTGCCAGCATCCTCAGGGCTTTTTACAGAGGTGTGGTGGAGAGCGTTCTGACATGCTGCCTCTCAACATGGTCCTCCAGCTGCAGTATGTCAGACAGAAAAGTTCTGCAGAGGATAGTTAGAGGAGCTGAGAGGCTCATTGGAGTTTCCCTCACCTCTGTCCAAGAACTTTTCCAGAGCTGCTGCAGGAGTAGGACACTGAACACTGTCAGGGACTCCTCACACCCTCTCCATAAACTGTTTGAACTGCTGACATCAGGCAAACGTTTCCGAAGCATTAAAGGAAGAACCTCCAGAATGATCAACAGCTTCATACCACAAGCTGTTAGAACACTGAACTGCTGATCTAGATATGCAAACAGCTGTTTGTTTTAATTGCTTTAGGTTATTGGATCCTGAAGAAACACTCTTCTATCTTGCCTGTCCTACTGTGTATGTACAACAAAATGACAAAAAACTTGATTTGATTTGATTTTAATACATATGCATGCAGCCTGTGGAAGAGTATAAAACAAAATACAATAAAATTAATTTATAAAAACAACCCACGGCATATTAAAACTTTTTTCACAGCACTGTAACTTCTTCCCTAAAAACAGTATGGACTTTACAAAAGCAATAACGGGGTACTGTCAGGGCTTTTGTTTTGTTTTGTTTACTTATCCGTGTGCCATGGAGTGCGGAACGCAGGGTCGTGTGCAAGCTACTTGGAATTAGGGGGCTGATAGTAGGGTTGGGTCCAGCCGGTGAGGATTAAGCGGTTAATAGATAATGGATGGATAGTAGGGGTGAAACATTCTCTCGTGGGAGCAGATCTGCAAAGCAGCATACGTGTGCATCAGTAGTCGTGGAAACCGTGAGGTGAAGTAGCTGACGAAGCCTTTGGGCAGCTCACCGAGAATCTCCTTCACCTTCGGCGGCAACCTGTGGTAGTGATGCTTCTGTAATATTCAGAATGCATAAATGTAAAACCCCATTGGGCGTGTCAAAATGTTTCTGCTTGTATATAAACAAATCAGATTTAATGCAAGCACACAGGCTGACCTTGTTCCTCATTGCTCTTAGCAGTTCTCTGACTGAGTATCCTTTATATAGCCTGAACCGGCGCAACTCTGAAGTGAACATAGAGAAAAATGGCATTAAAGAGTGCTGATAGCTTTGTTATCCTGCAAACCTTGAAGTTACGTGACTTTAAATGGCCGTCTTTTTGCATGTGTACCCATCCTTAGAGGCATAGAGATGCGCATCCTCCAGTCGGTTCGGACCACTGCTCTTCTTGCAGTCTCCAGTCTCACCACAATCGGACTCTCTGCTGGCTCATTTTCTATGCGGTCATTAACATCCTTTGAACAAAAACACGAAAAAGCAGTTCCCAGAGTCAGCAGGCAGAGGATTGATACTTAGCAGTTTGATACTAAGCAGAAAGACACTCAAGTATAAAGCTGTCTCTTCGTGTGTCTGTGACCACATGACCACAGAGAAGTCGCTGAACACACCAGGAAAAAGTTCAGCTGCTTCTCGGGGCTCCAGAGGAATGGATGTTTGAGCACACAGGCCGTAGAGGGGCGTGACTCCGCCTGCGCGCTGATCATTTGCTCAATCAGATCCGCTGCTATGACATCATCTGATAGGAGAGAGATACCAACATTTTGTCAGGTGAGTCGAGTATCATTTTGTGTTGCGGTTTGATTTGAGCTCCGTTTATAACAGTGGACCTAGATTAAATCTTCAATTTCATGCAGAGATATTGTGCTAATTGGATTTAGCGCAACCATTCACAAACATCTGTGGAGATGACTGAGCTGGTTTCTATTTTTGAGCTGTACACTGTCATGTATGATTTCCACATTTCTATACACTATAATTAATGGGACACAGACATGAACAGTCCAAGACGGAGACATCCTCACCGTGTATGTCGTCCATGAAATGTGAGAGGGAATATTCTCCTGACAAGATGTTGACCTGTCGCCTCAAAGCGTCTCCAAAAGGGTGCTGCCCCCTGCTGACCACGTAGTAAAACACACAGCCTGCAGAGAACACGTCCACCGCTGCTGTCTGGAAAGATGAGAGGCAATGATAGTTTGAACATTTAAGTAGATGTTAGGACTTAAAAACAGTGGCACAGACAAGAAGGGGTTAAAAAAAATCAAGCTGTAGCTACAAGTGGACCTCGTTTATTGTCTGTCATTGTAACCAATTTGATTAAATGTTCAGAGAAGTGTGATGTGTGTGTGCACCCTCCCGGTTTAGTTCCAGGTGTATCTCGTAGCACTTCTGGAGCGTTCCACCCTTCAGTTCCTGGTGTTCCAGAATGCAAGGAGAAGCTTCTCCGACCATTTGGGATCTTCTTACAGAGACCAAAGTCTGAGACGAGAGCTTGGACCTGACCCAGAGCACTGGGACCAGAGAGGAGGATGTTTCTGGGCTTCAGATCACAATGGACTAGATGTAGAGGTGGGTGGGCAGAGAGGAGAGAAAAAAAAATGCTTATATTTAGTTGTGTGAGTAAAGAAGAACTAAAATGTAATCTGTTACTGATCTAAGTTTTATGACTTGTATGTACCACAGACCTAAATTGAGCGAGTGGAGGTGTGAGAGGCCACACATGGTCTGTTCCAGCACAGTCACAGGACTCAGGTCGGAAAAGCCCGACGGATCCTCCACATACTGCAGAGAATACAAGCAATAATAAACACTTGAGTTGGGCGTCAATTTAGTTTATATTCGAGGTGAGATGGTAATAACGAGGCCCTCCGATGCTGACCTGTTGCAGGGTTGCAGCACACAGCTCGGTGGCGATGTAAGTGTAGAGGTGGTCTCTCTCTGTGCAGAAGTACCGGATGACGTTGGGGTGCGTGTCGGACTCTCGGAGAAGCTGCACCTCTCGCTCTGCTACCTCAAAACACTCTGGTAGGATTCGCTTCACAGCCACATGGCATCCATAAAATGTACCCCTAAAGACCCAAAAAACATTCCAACATATTAAGCGCAAATATGGATGCATGTGGTTCGTAACAGAGCTCGTCTTAGAAACCAAACAAACTAACTAAAACTAAACAATGCGTGCCTTGTATCAAAGCTTTAAATTCTTTGAGTGCTGACAGTTTTCCAAAGCACACCATGTGTTGAGTTAATTTTTTACTTGTAGCTACTGATAAAAATTCTTTTCACTTGAAAGAATAAAAGCCAACTAGGCTTTTGTCATAGCAGTCACTCTGGCATGCCACTATATGAAAAGTACAAGGATAAATAATAATTATTAATAAATTATGGCTGATTTGCTGTTGTGCACACTTGCTCAATTTCATGCCGTCTCCCTTGGCCACATAATATTATTGCACTTGTACTTGCTGCTATGACAAAACAAACCATCAAAAGGCAACCTTTCTAATATTTATGTGCATTATGTGTATTACACAAAGACTGCGTAACCTAATCTTTGTGGAGATATTTACTCTTAAGCAGGGACTATTTCAAAAATGGTCTCTCTCATGATGTGTTCAGTGATGCTGTAGTATCTAAAGCCTGACATACAGCTGAAAGCAGCCTTTCCAGACGCTCTAATCCAGAGGTATTGTGTGTATATTTGCACACCAATAGGTTCTGTGGGCCCATGAACCTGCTGTAGTGGCTGCAGGTGAGCCTCTCTGCTTGGCTGACTGAACAACGGAGTGAATGAGGGCCTCACACAGACTGGACACTTCCAGCTTCTTATTCTGTCAGAGCTACACTCACAGCCAGAAAAAAAGCACCTCTCATTAAGTTGTAAAGTATAAATACAGCAGCAAGCTTCAGGATGAACTTCTCCCTTTATCCAGCAGAAACTTAATGACAAAAATAAAGCTTCAAGGGTCCCATTTTCTGCAAGGTGACTCGACAGTTAGCATCATTGCCTCGCAGCAAGAAGGTCGCCGGTTCGCATCCTGGTGAGGACACCCGGGATCTTTCTGTGTGGAGTTTGCATGTTCTCCCCGTGCAGTGTAGGTTCTCTCTGGGTTCTCAACATGTTGAGGATAATTGGTGATTCTAAATTGTCCGTAGGTGTGAATGTGAGTGTGCTTGGTTGTCTGTCTCCAAGTGTAGCCCTGTGATAGACTGGTGACCTGTCCAGGGTGTCCCCTACTTTCGCCCTAAGTCAACTGGGAGCTCCAGCTCCCTGCGACCCTAGTGAGGATTAAGCGGTGTGTAGATAATGGATGGATGGATGGGTCCCATTTCTTTTTCCTTTAAACACCTTCTGGTTTTTCATTTCGACAAGCTGCTTGATTTTTGAACAGTCTCTTCAAACATACAACAGTTTAATCAACAATTAACCATGTCTCTAAATGCAGTGTAATTTTACAGACATCTGTTTAAAAAGTTTACCGTAGTTCAGGCAGCTTATGTGTAAATGTACAAGTAAGGGCAGGAAGCCAGCATCAGTGTAGACCATCTTCCTTGACTGAAACGATGCAGCGTTGCACGTTGTCAGTGAGTCGATGCAGACTCGCTGTTGGAGGGTTTCATCACTCATTTCCACTCCCTGTTAATTTGTTTGGGATGGCGCTTAACGTGACCGACCATCAACGCGAATGAGCAAACACACTGGACTTTGGATAGGGAGAGGATGTGGGAGGTAGTTTGACAAAGGCCCTGAGTGTGTAGGTGATGACAGGAAGCTGCTTACAGCTACAGGTTAAACAGCCGGCTGACACTCCTGTCTCCACTTTCAGTCAGCCAACCATGCTGTGGTGTACACCTTTGTAAAACACTGTAAATAGTATCATGCAGTTATCTATAGCAGCCCTGGGCTCTGTGGGGGGTGGGTAGCAGTTTTTAGTTTGATTTCTCTCCTTCCCTTTTTAAGTATGTAGCTTTAGCTTGATTCACTTCGATATATTCTGTTTGGTATTTTGCTATTAGCCCACAATGAAGCTGTCTAATAACTGTAAGAAATCTATACTTGAAGGGCTATATTTGTTGTTGGTTGTGCTCGGGAGCTGAGAAGAGTACACAGGTGATAGAATATATTTTAGAATATGTCATGCCAGGGTTTCCTGGATGGTAGGAAATCAGTTTTATGAGATGCTATAGAAAAAAACTGTGAACTATATGTGTTTTGCACTAATGATCTTAAACAAGCAAATCTCCTGTTCTTGGATTAAAGTCTGTTCTACAAACAGTTGAAACAGTGTTTTCTTAAGATACACATACTTTACCTGAAGACAGAAGTTCCTGCTGTGCCGTGTCCAAGCACCTCAGAGGGGTTGAAAGAGATTTTCCCCACCTGCACCTCCTCACTGTTTCCTTCTGAAAGAAGCAGGAAAAAACAATGAAGCAAAGAAAAAATAATCTGAATTCACCAGTGCAGGACACACAATTTTATATTTTCAGATTTTTTTTCCAACTCATATCCAGATCAAGAGTTTAAGGACAGAGAGGGTCGTATGCTGTACATATCGTGAAGCCCCTCGAGGCAAATAAAAATGACTTGACACAGTTGGGAGTCATACCTGCTGTGGGTTTGTGACCATCCATCCATCCATTATCTATACACCGCTTAATCCTCACTCGGGTCGCGGGGGGGCTGGAGCCTATCCCAGCTGACTCAGGGTGAAGGCAGGGGACACCCTGGACAGTCGAGTCATTTTTATCTACATCTGAAGTGTTACTGCTGTGACTGTGAGGACTAGGTGGGGGGTCGGGAGATGCAGGCAGCAAGTCTAGATATAGAACAGTGAAGACATACAGTATGATTGTGGACTAAATTTTTCAGTAATCAGCTTAATCACGCAGTAATTAATATATTCAATATTTCTAGGC